ATATAAAGATCCAAGACTAAAAGAAAGTGTGACAGAGTTAAAGCGTGAAATGGAAAAATATAAACATAGTGCAGCTACAATTCAGCAGCTTGTTTTGACTTATCCAGAATTAGTGCAGAAGACGATCTGACATGATTTGTGATAATGTATTTATTTTTGTAAATTGTTTTTTTCATTGAAAATATCTTTCTTTACATAAGATATTCATGTAATCGTAATAAACCCAAGATATGCTTCGATATGAAATCATTATTATCAACTTTTGACATCATAACAATACTTTTAAGATGATATAAAGAATTCAAATTGATAGATACGAAAAGCCTTATACTGATGAAGATAATACTATTAATTGTTATATTATCGTTTAGAAAAGAAAAAGAAATATTTTCTCGTACAAAATGTTGATAGGACTTGATATTGATTAATATACATATTTTTCTTTTATTTTATATATTTGACGTGTATTTTGTTATTCTTTTGTTTACTACTTCTATAGCGAAAAAAGTAGGTTATTTTTCTTCTAAGAAACTCTACCGTTCTCTCCAGTTTTGCTCATTAGAGTGTTTAGTTTATGTCCCTTTTTTCTTTCCTATTTTCTCATTCAATACTGAAGTCTTCACATAATTGTCATCTCGCAGCATAAAGTGAACATATTCATTTTTCATTATTTTTCTCTCTCCTTTCTCATCTGTACTTGTAATTTTACTGTCATTTTAACGTGAATAATCATTTTTTATCTCTAAAAACAATTAATTAGTGATGACTAACAACACAAGCATACTTGCTTTAACGTCAAAGTCTGACTTATTCACTAAATAGTAGATACAATAAACATACATTTTGTTTATCGATTACTCATAAGGAGACATAGGTTAATTTCGTTCTCCTCCTCTGAGGTCAAAATACAATCGATATTTCGATAGTATATTCTTTTGCTCTTTTCGTTTTCAGACACTGTACTTTTCTCCATAGTAAATAATTGAAATTAAGAAAAAGTGAAACTTTCAAAATAAAGAACAAACGCTGTTTTAATTAAAAATATTGCTTGTAATGTATGTCATTCAGATTTGAATTGAGCACATGACAGAGAGAAACAAGGGATCTAAATAAATCTATATCATAATGTTATTCGTATTTTCAAAGATTGGAATGTTAAACTTGTTTTATCATATATTTCCGATCATGAAAGTGTCAGTCAAATAATTATTCAGTTGATGGTTATTTTCATGGGTTTGCTTCAATGGATGCTAATTTTGCTATTTAACGTTCACATGACATGAATTCATATAAATCAGCATCAGCTTATTGTGCTACTGTAATTGTTGATAGAGCATTTAACATTTCTCATCAAATCGATATGGTGCTCGTACTGTTGCTATAGCGTTTACCAAATAATAAAATAGCTATATTAATTGTTGACTCTATCTTAGATGATATTGTACTATTTCTGATTAGTTGGTACTATTATTCGTTCACAATGCGATTTACAGAAACAATCAGAAATAGGTACACTTAAAAAAAATGCATTCAACGTAGAAAAATAAAAATTAAAAGATATGAATGAAATATTTGATAACTTAATCAATTATTATATCAGTTTTATTTACATTTTTAATTTCAACGAATATTAATACCGATTTTTGACGATTGTTGTTTCATGTATTCTATTTTCAAATACAGTCTAATTTTCATAAATGTTGTATTTATTATTTTTTAGTAGTATCCGATTAAATTTTTTAATAGGACATAAAATGTCAATACAACACGATATTCAAAGTATTTTTATAGTACATATGTTCATTTCGTACAAGACTAATAGATGTTAATTGATTAGGCAATGTTTTTCTGAAGTGGCTCTATAAAATGCGAGATAATGGATCTATTGTAAAACTTGCTCAAATACCTGTAGATTTTTTAATTAATAAGGTGTTTTTTAATCATAATTAGATATAATTCTTCAGCTTTATTTCCCTTATTAGCAGACAATAATAAATTAATTAAAAAGTCTTAAAGAAATAAAAAGCTCTTATAGTGTATTAATTTTTAACTTAGTTGAATCATACTAATATTCTGTAAGATAAAAATAAAACAATTACTGAAAACATCATTTTGAAATATTAACAATAATAATAACTCTTCTTTTACTAAGAATATACGATATCAACAAACATATCTTCAAGGCATAATTGATTTTTTTTTACGCATGTCAACACATGACCAATAATAATGTCAACAATTAGCATTTAAAGAACTCTTTAATGCATCTTTACTAGAAAGACAAGTACACAAAAATCAAAAAATGCAGAAAGAAAGAGTATCAGCAATATAAACATGTCATTTATGTCACTTGAAAAGAGTACAAAAAAAAAACACCGAGAAGCCTATGAGATGCAGAGGCGTGTCAAACGAAGACAGATTATAGCATATCATATAAGAAAATAATTAATGCTGAATTTCTTTCTTCTTCTATTATTTTCACAAAAGCATATGAAAAAGACTTTAATAACATTTCTTGAATTAGTAAGAAAGTAATCAACAGTTTTATTTTGTATACACAAAAACTTGATCAACAGATAAAGGTAAGCAACAAGTAATGTTTTAATAGTTATTGAACTTTAAAAAGATTTTCTTTAGATAATTGACGAACGAGGAGAATGTCTCAAGTGTTCGATTACTCTTAAGTTCAAACAATTTACTTCATATCGACTCTAATGAACTATAAAAAAATCTGTAAATAGTTCGATCTTCGGTTTAGTGTTGATGAAATATTGCATTTTTTAAAATATCAAGTCGTTTGATTTCTTCTAATCTGAAGTAAAAACATTGGATTTGCCGACTAGTAAATATATTATTGTTATTAAGATCGATCTCTATATAAAGTTTCAAGTCGAAATTCAAAGATTAGTTGCACTGACGTTCTAGAGGTAAATCACGCCATTTTGATTTAAAAAAAACTTTGTCATAATACTCAATCTTTCTAGCTATCAACTAAGGACGCGAATTCTTCATAGGTTGTTTATGGTTCATTAGAGTTTACATGATACAAGGTTTTTTGAATGCTTATCTATTTTAAGTAAGTTTCATTAGTAAATAATTTGTACAATACAGTATAATCTCCTTTAGATGGGCACCTACGGGACTTTTTCAAATCGCCCACTTGACGGAGGTGCTCTGGTTAGAGAAGTATTGGCAAGTATCAGTCACAAACATGTTTTTCGCGAGCTGTATCGTAAAGAATACCCATACATATACATATATATATATATATATTACCAATCTGTGCTTAGGCCTTTGACTGAGCCTAGTATTTCACTCTCATTTTCCGATATTTTCCGTTTATCTAAATTTATTTTCTATTTTTCTTATTTACAATCAAGCTTTTTTTGAAAAAAAATCCAAAATAGAGCCTGACTTGTTAGTTTTTGAATCAATATAAATATCGACGAGTTTCAATTCCAAATCAACGACAAGTTGGTGAAGTGCTGATTGACGAGTAGATCAAGTGTAAGATAATAACGCGATGTCATTTTTCAATGATTTTATGCAGTAATGTTAGATAACACGACTATTTATACTTTTTTTTATCACTGACTGCACAATCAGAAATGTATAGATGAGTTTTTTTTTTTGTTACGTCGGACGAAACTTTTCTGTCTCATTCATAGAACAACAAAAAGCACGAGAAGAAAAAGAACAGTATATTGATTAAAATATTCACTGTATGTGCCCATATAAGAGAGATTCAACTATACAGTACGGTCTAAAAGTAGTGCTCACTGTCAGAAGAGGAAGGTGCCCTTGTTATAGAGGTGCCCACATAGAGAAGTTATACGGTATATTAAACATTTTCGAATACTTTTGAACTACTATTGACATATTTTCTTATACTATAGTTTCCAAAGCATACTTATCTGGCGAAAACTGAAGTAAAAATATTGTTTGACAATTAAAACATGTTTCTATAACTGAATAGATATTAATTTATATTGAATGTTCTTAGTTGAATACTTTTGACTAGAGAATGATATGTATATGAATATATATATATTTAATATTTTGAAAATGAATTTTTTTGTAATACGATTTGTTAAGATTATCTCATATTTTCTTTTTTCGAAAAGAGTACATCATATTTCAGTAGTAAATTATCGATAGTAGAATGACTCTATTTTTGTATTAATATCTCTTTATTTTTTTTCTTTTACAATACACATACATATATATACTTTATCGCATAAAATGCTTCTTACATTCAAAAGTAATCAAACAGAACGAAAGAGAAAATTATTGTCTCTTTGTATATTCATATACTCATCCGTTCTCTTTGTTATATGTTCATTTGTATTCAAGGTTGCGTCTTGAACATTTGAGAATATTCAGTGAAAAAAAAAGTGCTTTTGATCACTAATTTATTTCGAGTTGTGACTTTCCATTATGGATGTGATTTAATAGAGAATCCCTACCATCAAGTTTCACTTTTCTTTTTATTTCAGATATTTCATTGTTTAATTTAATAAGTAACATTAAATCAAATTCCATTTATGGGTATATGCAATGAAAAACCAACTCATCTAGATATTGATCATTATAAATCTCTTCTATCTATAGAAGAATTTAAACAAATTCCGATTGTCTCACTTGAACAAGCTATTGAACCATTAGGTTCTTTAATACCAACAATAAAAACTTATGTTCAAATGATCAAAGAAAAATGTCGTAATCCTGCTGATGGATTAACATCAGACGAATCGGCTTCTATTATGCTTTATTCAATCATATGGCAACCAATAGATGAATGTCTTTATACAGTTTTAAATTCACTGTTACAAACATTAGATAAAAATAAACTTCAACCATGGATTTTATATTTAAAACTTTTATTTTCTGCTCTTATACATCTTCCATCAAATCAATTAATTGTTTATCGAGATAATAAATCTAATTTAAGTAAACAATATCATATTGATGAGATAATTGTTTGGCAAGATTTACCTCTATGTACTAGTTCAATTGAATATTTACAATCAGAAAAATATTTAGATAAAACAGAAATACGAACACTATTTACAATTGAATGTAATACAGTTAAAAATATTAATAAACATTGTTATTTTCAAGCAGATAATTATTTATTATTTTTACCTTTTACAAAATTTCAAATAATTAAATGTTCTTATCAACATAATGAAAATTTACATTTTATTACTCTTAAAGAAATTGAATCATCATTTCTTTTAAATTCTCTAAATGAAATTAAAACAAATTTAAATACATCAATATCATTGAATATTTTTCAAAGGTAAAAAAAAAAAAAGGAAAATTCTATTTTATTAAAAAAAAAAATTGAAATAAATATTTATAGATTTTGTTTATCATTTAAAATATTTGGAAATCAATCATCAATATCAAATGATCATTATCATAATACATCTCTTGAACATCGTATTTTAAAAAATGAACATTCTTGGGCAATTGATTTAGATAGACAAAATTTAACTGATCGTGATATGAAAATTATTGTTAAATATGCAATTATTAAAAATCATTGTAAACGTATTCGTTTACGAGATAATAATTTTACATCATATTGTACAACAATTTTATCTGAAGGTTTATATAATAATACAACATTAAAATCATTAGATCTTCGTAATAATCATCTATCAGATTTAGGTGTACAAATTTTAGCATTATCAATTATACATTCAAATGTTGAAACTCTTAATTTAGAATCAAATGATATAACATCTGAAGGTGCACAATATTTAGCACAAATACTTCGAAATAGTCGAACATTAACAGAATTATATTTATCAAAAAATTTTTTAGGTGATCGAGGAGTTAAATATTTAGCAAATGCATTAAGTGAAGATACAATTAATATTCAGGAACAATCAAATAATAGTGTATGTACTTCGAAAAAACAACAAGTTTTCAGAATCTTTAAATCTACTGTTTTACAGATATCTTACGTCGAATGTAGATCATATTTTATTTATGTAGCAACATCAATGAGGAATAATACTCATCACATGAGATTGAACTTTCACCAAATACTCTTATTTATTATATAGTTTTTTATATTGAAAAATGCATATCATTCTTTCTATGAATGGAAAAAAACTCTAAATAGAAAAAGACGTCTTTATTTGTTCCTCTTATTCATGCACTAATTATTCAGTACTGAAATCTTGACGGTGTTTTTATTATTATTTTAAACATTGTTGTCTATCAGTATTGATGCTGACAAACTATAAATTAATACTAGATTTTTCTACGAATAGTTCAAGATCAACCAATAACATAGTATTTGAGAAAAACTCTTAAGTTGATATTAATTTCGAGTAAAATTAGACGAAATCTAAACTACTTCTCTGTAGTATTATCATAAATAAATCAGTACGTACTTTTCTTAAGCCCTCCCCCTCCCTCAAAACTCGATCTCAGTCCAAGAACGTTCAAATGACATGAAATTTTCAGAATATTATGGGGTTGATGTGGAAAGGCTATGGTAAAATTTTCAGCCCGATACCATAATGTTTTGGCGAGATATCAGTCAAACAAAGGTCAAAAATAGCTCATTTGGCAAACTAAACTTCTCAGTTCAGGTCCGTGTGATGTATTTAAATTTTTTTTTGTTTGAAAGAGCATGTCAGGATGCAGTGCAGTACTGAGTCCTTTTTTTAAATACCTATCTTTTTTAGAAAAACAAAAGAATTGAAAGTTCAGTGACTCAAAAAGTCCTTAAAAAATGGATGTCGAGTTATATAAGTGTCTGTATATATAATATAAAAAAAACCGAATTCAAAAAAGAAAACGCTCTGTACTGCACTGCATCTTGATGCGCTCTTTCAAACAAAAATAAATAAATATATTGAATGAGTATCGACAGAGAAAATGTGATTTGCGCGTTCGAGATATCGTGAACCGAGAAAAAAAACAAACAAGATTTTTAGTTTTTCGAATAGGAGTTGTCAGAAGTCTCGAAAATTTTTTGGAAAAAATAAGATATCGAAGAGAAGTTTTTATCATTTATGTAAGAGCAAACGACGGGCTATCTCCTCATGTATTTATCTCAATTTTGACCATTCTAACGAAAACTGACTTTTTTTTTAAGGGAAAGAGGGGGACCTTAATTAAAAATCAGCTATTTGTAAAAAAGAATATTTGTCGTGTCCCATGCAGAATTCTAATCTATAATATCTGTCATCTATCTCTTATCAAGTACATTATAAATGATATCTTTTTAAATACTTTACAAAGTTTCTATGCTTAAATTTGTTAATCTTAGTTTTTATTTCTATAATATTATACTTATTTAAAAAAACTCTAATTATTGTAGATCTCCGTAGCTAATCAAACAATTCTACAACATCTTTATCTCGGACAAAATGATATAACAGATGAAGGAATAAAATATCTTTGTGATATGCTTAAAACTAATCAAACATTATCATGGTTATGGTTGACTGATAATAAAATAAGTAATCAAGGAGTTAAATTCTTATCAAATATACTTGTTGATTATAATATGACTCTTGAATGGTTATTTCTTGAGTCAAACAAATTAATAAATGATTTATGTATTGATGATCTTATTTATATGATTAAACGAAATAATACATTAAAAACACTTTATATAAATAATTGTAGTTTAACTGATATAACCAAACGAAAACTTATTAAAATAACTAAAACAAAACGAGATTTTGATTTAGAAGTATAAAATATAGAATCTTGTTTCTTTTTTTTTTATGTATTCATCTTTTTATGAAAAATAAAAAACAAACAAATTTTATTTTTTAGTTTGATTATATACTATAGTAAATGTCATATAATCAGGTTGAAATATAACATCAGTTTTATTTGCCCATTCATATAATAAACCAATCGATTCATCATTCATTATTGTCAATGATGAATAAGATGATGAACCTTGATAAATCGTTTTAATATATGTCCAATTTTCACCATTATCTTGACTTATATATAATGAAAGATTACTTCGAATAATTGATGTTTCAGCTAAACCTGTATAAAATATTTGATGAGTATTTTTATGATATATTGTTGAACCTTGACATCCAGTTAATGGTTGTACAAGCGTATTTAATACAATAACTTTATTAAATGTTATTCCACCATTATTACTATAAGCACCAATTCGTTTTCTACCTAATGAACGTGAATTTATAAATATTGAATTCGTATTTGGTAATAATTCAACAGCTTGACATTCATTTGGAAAATAAGCTTCACGATGAAATTCTCCTCCTAAATACCATTTATCTAATTGACCATTAAAATCATTTAACATAACATAACCATTCGATAATAAACCATTGTCATTTGAATGTATAGAATAATAAGCAGGAATTAATATTCGATTTGATTGTAATAAAAGACCACCTGGTGGACCTAAACCAATCCATTTCCAATGAGGTTTTGTTACATGAGGAATAATTTGTGGTTGTGAAAATGTTAAACCATCATCATCAGAATATGTTTGCATTATAATAAGATTATTTTTACAAAATGGTATTAATATTCGTTGATTATATTTTAATTGAACAGGTGCAATATTTCCTACTCGATTATATTTATCATTTGAAGAATTTCCACGATATAAAATTTGTAAATTTGACCATGTTTGCCCATTATCGAAGCTTCGTTTATAAACTATATCTGTTTGAGTATAATCACTACAACTGAATAGCCGTGCTTCACCAAATGCTAATAAAGTACCTTTAACGGTTGTTAAAATCGATGGAATTTTTATACAAAAATAACCATATTCACCACGTGTAAATACAATAGTATCGATTTCAAATGAAAGCCTTATATAAATAAATAGAAAAAATAGAATTGTTTTTATTAACATCCAATCTGAAAAATAATTAATCGTTTTAAAAAAGAAAAACTTGTTGTGAGAAATACTATAATCAAATATTCTGAATTCGAAACTTATCTAGTTTAAAAAACATCAGAAACTATCAGAGACTGTTTAACTATGTATTATGGCAAGTAGTCGGTTTCTGTTAGACTAACAAAAACTTAAAAGGAATCGAATCTATGACCATCTAATGAAAAAACTGTAGTTGTATTAATAAAAATTTTACTACAAGCAAAGTATTTCCGAAAATACTCAAAACAAACTGTTTTGACCTGAAATTTTGTTTGTAGGTAGATTCAATAGGAATTCGATGGACATGAAAGCTTCCATGAAAACAAATATGTCTTTCTCTAAATATTCAATTTTCAAAGTAATCAGAGATTTTCAATTGGAGAACACAGTAATAGCGAGTCTACTTGGAACTATCGAATATTTTGAGAACGAAATGTTTTCGGCAATATTTTGCTTTTAGTAAAAATTTGATTAAAATGATCATGACTCTTCATCAGTAGGTCATCGGCTAGAATATTTTTAAACTTTTCTTAGTCAGAGATGAACCTATTTGTAGCCACAATATGAAAATGAAGGATGTCCAACAGTTGGATAGAATCTCTTTTAAGTATTGTTATCACATGCCGATTTTTATCTGATGATATTTTGACTATTTAATCTTGTAATAAATCAGTCTTTCAGTCGTTTTTGACAGCTGATATTATCAAATTCATATAGATTTATCCACTCACGTAATTATTTGAAAAAATAACAGAAAACCAATAATAAGTAATGTTTTATCTGGACAAACACTCTTTGTATTTACATTACTTTAGAGTTAAATGTGCGCATTACTTTTTTTCTTATTTACTGATAAAACTTTGCAAGAATAAATATAACAGATAAGCATATTACGTTTTCTTGTTTTCTTTTGTCATCAATGTTTTTCATATAACAATAAGATCCTATTACAATCGTTCGAAGTTTTAAATTAAACTAAATGTATTACATGTGTTCAATAAAGTTTAACAAAATACCATCTAGACTTGATGAGTAAAAGATTAACATGAGAGACTAAATTCCAATCTTCAAATAGCAAAAAGATGAGAACATTATAAACTTGAACATTAGTCAATATTCGTTAATTTGGGATCTAGATGAAAGATATTGATGAATCAAAAAAAAAAATATACAAAACAGATGAAGAATTGAATAAAAAATTTCATCAAGATAAGAGTTTAGCAAAAAATAAATCGAACAAATGAACTTTGATTACTTATCGAAAAATATTTGAAAATATTAATTATCTATATTCGTAGTGAGTTAAAACTATTAGAAAATTAATTGAATAAATTTCAATCAAATGCTTTATTTTGACGATGGATAACGATACGAAATATGTATTCATATCATGAAATACAACGAAACATAAAATCGCATAAATGTCAGTTCAAACGATTTCCTACAAGAGTATACTTCAAATCTTGAAAAAGTTTTCACAGAAATCAAATTGTATTTTCCGAAGACAAATATTTTCAATCTAATTGAAATACGAAAAAAAACACATTATATTTGATTCAATCTTAATATATAATAACAAAGCATATACAATTCGTAAAAGTTTCGAAACTATTAACATATTTTACTTTTACGATAAATCATTTGATTACATGTGAGAAAAAAATAACGATTCTATTGTCATATATGATTATCAGGAAATATTTAAAAATAGAATAAAACTTGTTGCATATTAAGCTAAGCATATAGTATCATAGTTCTATAACAACAACGAGTTTTGAATTTGTAAAGATATTTGAAAAATTTCTATCTCATTGAATATGATGACGTACAACCAGTGCCTTTGCTATGTAAATTTGTCTGATTGTAATAATCCTTATCATTAAGAGCTAGTGATGATAGAAACAAACGATGGTACGAAAGTTGTTGTCTTGAATCGTATCACATTAGAAAATGTTGTTAGTATGACCTTTATTTCCAATAGTAATATCATGATAGACATTGTGATTCACTTTCTAAACAACCAAAGATACTCAGATTCTAGCATATAACATTGGATATAGTCGATAAACAAAACATCAGATGTTATCATGCACTCGTAGAATGTAAAAATAACTTAAACATAATTTTATGTTTGACAAATGAATGCAGAGCACAAATAATAGAATGGAAGATTGTTTTCAATGAATTCTCGAGTCAATTAGATTAATTTGAATATAATGAGATGTTTTATTATACAGTACAGAAATAATAATCTTTTCCAAACTGATTTCGGTAGAAAATTCAGACTATTTATCCTGAGCAGATCTAAGTGAGCAGGCAATCGTACGAAAACTTGTAACAAAATGAATATTTGAAATATTGAAATTTTACATCGATTAAGAGACAATTCGAAATTCGTTAATTAATTTGATGTCAAGTCTCTAGTATCGAAAATATATGTGATAGGTATGAGAAAAAAACATAGTATAATTTATTTTCATTCAAGATTTCTATTGAATCGCAAACAATTTTACAAAGTCGTCACTGAAGCTTTGAGTATTCAAATATTTGAATTATTATTGAAGTACAATAGGTTTTTCATCTTGTTTTAATTGCAACGCATCTTGTTTTTGTTTTTGCTCTTTCTTGAAAGTAGTAAAAGCTTCACATTCAATAAATCCTGCATCTGCATCATATTTATAAGGAAAACATGTTACTGGAATACGCTCTGCAAATGATTTACGTTCACCAAATAGACCTCGAGAGATATCTTTTTTCATTTCAACAGGTGGTTTTGACGTTGCTGATGAAGCAATTAGATAAAATTGTTTACCATCAACATCCATTTCAATAATAGTTTCACTTTTCTTATTTGAATAAAAACCTCGTAAATATCCTGTACGAGCTGAACGTTTTCGTTGTTCAAACCAAGCATGTAGAGCATCTTGATTTGAAGTTTTATAGAAGAGAACAGCTGAATAAATATTAAATCGAAAATTCAAATGACTAAGTTCTCGTTCTAATGCTTCATTTTCGAACATTAATTCATTTAATGGTACCATAAAACCGACATGAATTAAACGACCACGTGCAGAATTATTGCTTGCAGCTGAAGCCATTATCGTGTTCTTTTTCTATTCATTTTCAAATACTAATCATGTGACTAAATACTTCTTACATCTGTCTGGTGCAATATGTAACATTACATGTCATAGAAAAAATCTTATTTCCTCTCATGATTCATACAAGTTGAGTGATAAAAAAAGTAGTTTTAAATGCTAGATGTCTCACTCTATCATCAAGAATAGACAAGAATAAATTAATACTACAACAACAACATCTAAAATGATTGACATATTTAATAATTTTATGAAGCTAGTGGTATATGGGTTATGTTGTCTGCTTTTTAATAGAGAAGAAAATGTTTGTTCAATATATAACTGTTATGAATTCTAAAGTCATAGATCTTCCCACATGCTGATAAATTTTGGTAGAAATAATAAATTTTTATAATACTTGTAAATTGAGATGACTTTCATCAGAGTACTCGACAAGATATCCTGCTGCCAATATGCCCTAGAAGGATCTACGACAATTGCTCAAAAAATAATTAGTCACACTATAGAATTAATCTCAACGTCTAATTTTGTATGAAGCTTTATATGAGAACAACTAGTAGTTGCTGTGAAAAATTTTCATAATGAATATGATATTTTTCAACTGTATTGAAAATGCGTCTTTATTAATTCAATTATTTCAAAGATAGATATATTACAAAATGAAACTGATTCGAAGTTTTGGACGTGAAACTATACTCTTCAATTAGTATGAATGTAGATCTAGCAAAAACTAAACAGAACTTGTTAACTGAAGTTTGAATCTTATAATTAAATACGAAGTTCATGAAATGATTCAGATTAATATTCAACGTACACAAACTGACATTAAATCAACGACAAAGTCATAACTTGTCATCAACTTTTTATCTATGTCTTTTTCAGTCATCATTCCATCATCAGATATTGGTTGTTCGAAAATATTTAGTACTTTAACAAGTCAATTGCTAATGTTTTTATGTAATATAAATAATAACTGTTGAATAAGTAGTTTTTGTAACTTCGTGATATGTTATTAAATCTCATATTACAAAAAAAAACAATCATACCTTGATCGATAAGACACAAACAAAACACAATTGGAGAACACGACTGCAATGAACACGCTAAAGTTGTGAAAAAGTATCTACTCAAAAAATACATTTTAATTCATTTCGAGCAATTTTTTATTTAAAAGTATATTTTTTTTTCATTCATCAATTCTAATAACATACCGCAAGCATGAAACACGCTTATTTTTTTTAGGTTCTTATCTTTACGATCCTATGACTTTTTGTATAAGAACCCTCATAGCTATTTCACATTTATCACACGGTGGCCATCATTTATCAAGGTTTAGATCAACAGAGTAGCGGTTATTTTTTGGTGTTTTTAATTCATGCTATAAAATGTCTCGAAAATTTGTACTACTAACCAGTACGATTACAGCTTACGTAAGTAAATAACACATATTTGAACAACATGAATACGCTTTATTATGAAAGAAAAACAACCATATTCATCTATCAGATGTTTTAGGGAATTTATAAATATGCCAGTTCCAATAAGAACAAACGATATGTTCAGTCAACAAGATCTATACCCGATCATCCAACGAGTGTTATAATTGGCACCGGTATAGTTGGTCTGACAAGTGCATACTATTTAGCTAAAAATGGACATAAAGTTATTTGTATTGAAAAACGAGAAGATGTTGCTTTAGAAACAAGGTATAAATTCAATAAATATCTAAAATTAAATGTTTTTTGATAAATATCATAGTTATAAAAATGGTGCATTGATATGTCCATCTCTATTAACACCATGGGCAAATTCTGAAGTGCCAAAGAAATATTTCAAATCTATATTTTCTTCATCATCAAAACTAACATCTACTAAAATTTGGCCAAGTACTTTATTCTCTCTAAAATTCTATCGTTGGATGTATGAATATTTAAAAAATTGTACAACAAAAGCTCAAATTAAAAATGCAAAACATCTATTAATACTTAGTATGTATTCTCGACAATGTTTAGATGATATTCTTAATGAAGTATTTATCAAATTTTTTTTTATAAATTTCATTTCATTATTTTTTAATATTTTATAGAATTCTATATCATTTTCTCGTCATTCGAATGGTTCATTACAAATAGGTATAGATGAGACTGTTTTAAAACAAATAATTGAAGAATCAAAAGATATTAATGATATACAAATTCTATCAACATCAGATGAAGTTATTAAATATGAACCAATATTAACAAATGTAAAAGATCGATTCTATGGTGGTGTTTTTAGTTCATCAGATACCAATGGAAATATTTATGAATTTTGTTGTGAATTAAAAAAAATTCTCGTTGAAAAATATAATGTTCAATTTTTATTTAATACAGAAATAAAAGATTTTCTTGTAACAACTACAATTAAAAGTCATAATAATTATCAACAACGTCATGTAACAGGAGTTTTAACAAATAATAATAAAAGTATTAATAATATTGATAATGTTATTTTAACAAATGGCAATTATGTTATGCCATTAACAAAAAAATTAAATATTTATATACCAGTTTATCCTGTTAAGGTAAAAATATTTATCTAATCTGAAATAGTTTATCTTATTTTATTTATCAGAGAAAAAAGAATAATTAATAAGCAATTATTTATTTATCGTATTATAGGGCTATGTTGTTGAAATAAAAACACCAGCCAATATTCCATTTCCATCGATGAATCTAGTTGATGATGGAAATAAGTTATATATTTCAGCATTAAAACCAACTGCTGACCAAGGTATAGTTCGAGTTAGTGGTCTTGCAGAATTTGGAGGTTGGAAAGTAAGAATATGATTTTTATTAATCATAATACGTATGCCAATCCGTATGTGTTCTATTTCATAGGATATTGGTGTTCTTAGTGAACCAAATCGAGCTCAATATTTGTATGAACAAACAATAAAATGGTTACCACATTTAGAACCTTATGAAAAAACTTTTCATAGTTGTTCACGTCCTGTATCAGCTGATGATGTACCATTAATTGGATCTTGTGATAATTTTGATAATCTTTTTGTTAATTGTGGTCATGGTAGTAAAGGATGGACACTTGCATTTGGATCAGCTGCTTTATTGGCTAATATTATTAATCAAAAGCCGTACAAAGAGGGAGACAAAAATATTGATCCTGAACCATATTCTCCAAATAGATTTTCATAGATTCTTTTTCTTTTTTCAATAATTAAAACGTTCGATGCAGCTTACGGGATAATATGTTAGATTTATTACAATGAATATAATAAAATTAATTATTTTTCAAAATATGTTTTAAGTTAGTTCTAAAGAACATATGATAATACAGATGAATCTATGTAAACCATCCAATTGCTGAGTAATTCATTGCATGGAATACATAATAAGGAGACGGACAAATGTGTACCATGTTCAAAGAATATTTCATGCTTATTTTAGATAACATTAGCTTTTGGTCATTAAAAAACTATTATTTCAGAAAAATAGATGATTATTTTATCTAATATCTTATTGAAAAGAAGAAAGACATCACTTTATGTAGTCGAAGAGAAACTGCTAGTGAATACTTATCATTTGAAAAGAAAACAATGGAAAAATTCTCAATCTGAAGTACCTCCATAAGTTGAGCACATTGGGCTAGGCTCGATGGTACTCATATTATAGTAATTTTACTACATTTAATGTTTTATAAATTTTTCTTATGTAGTAGAAATTAGTTTACGGTAATTTTATTTATCATAAAAATATTAATATTATGTGTAAGTTAAAGTGATTATATATTAGTTGATATTTTACATCCGATTGCAATAATTAAAAATATATTTCCATTTTCAGATTTTTGCTAATGAAAGCTGTACTGATAAGTAGATTATTGATAGAGAAAAAAATCATAGTGAGATAAAAACAATTAAAGAAAATATGAAAACGATAACTTGACTCATTTTTCCTTAATGTACCAGCTTGAAATTGTGTTCCACTAGTTCTTTGGTTTTCAATTTCTTTATAACAAATGAAAATATAAATTATTTCTATTGAAATATCAATCACACAGGAATCAATGAAATATTTTGCGTATGTACTTTGCCCATATATTCAACACGAAAGATTTTATTCAGCTATTACAATTCTTCTAGCATATAGATAATAAACTAGTCCAGGAGATTCTTGAAAGCTGACTTTTGATATCAAAAATATTAAAAACCTAATCAGTGTCCATTTTTAAGTCGTGGTGACACTAACGACTGAGATATCTTTTAAATTTTGCAACTACCTATGGTGATTCAGTCGATTGCTTTGTACTCATAATTATAATTTACACGTCAAAATGTATTTAAACGATATTCATTTACAAATATATTAATTTGCACTGGTGTTCTAATTATTTGCAGCAGTTTGAAGACAAACTATCGTTGTTTTTCTAGAGTATTTTTTATTTTTGGCATTATTCATAAAAAAAAGCATTGTTGATTTGAAGTAATAATGATTGTCGAAGTTTTTTTTTTAGAGTTTTGTATTCAACAACAAATCTATACTTCTTCGATGAGAACAAGTTTGATCGAAAGTACTTTTCATACAGATCAATACAGACAAATAATCTTTGTCAAAATAATGCATGTCATGATTAAAGAGTTTTCAACGACATATAGTAAAGTTTATTTAAATATTATTCTCTTACATGAACAAAGGAATTTTCAAAGACTAAATTCCAATGCCGATTAGATTGTTATCATAACGATCTAAACCTAACAGTTGTTTGGAATAGTAGATACAAAATTTGACTGCTAATTTGTCTTCAAACAATTTAGATAAACTTCTCAAATTTTTCGTTCGAAGAAAAAGCAATTAGTATTTTTAATAATTGATTACAAGTTAAATTTATTTTTAAAAATAAAACAAGTTGATAATCATGATTAACAAACAATGATGAACAAAAAGACGTCTTTGATTAATGTATGATCTTACACTTGTGTTGTTGACCTTCGTAACAACTGATTGAAGTTTGTTTTGATCTAAAGAAAAAAAACAAAATATTACTACAATGATTCAATTCTTTCTCTAATTTATCTGTTTAATTGTGAACATCTTGTTCAGCTGGTATAACATTTTCAACTATCAAGCAAAATAAAACAAAAGATATATACTACTAAGTGACAAATAATATTTTGCCAGGGGGGTACGGCTATTATTTTAAATAGGACAACTAATTACTTTTATACCAAAAGAAAGCCCGGCAAAAACGGGGTTTATTGGTAGTAAACGATAAGGATTATGTAATTTTTTGTATGGTAAAACTCACAAAATTTGAGAAATTTACCATAGTGTGATCATTATAATTCATTGTTGGCGACATTTAGCATAAAGAAACAACGAAATCTGTGGATAAATTAAAAGAAAATTGTCATAATGGTCATGACCACCAATTATGATTCAGTAGATGTTACGGTTCTTTTGCGTTCTGTTGTCTGCACCTCGTGACGATCGGAGAGAGAAAAGATTTTTTATTTTTCTCATCTTAGAACGCGATAGAATAGAAGAAGTGTAAGCATTTATCAGACCATACATAAGGTCATTTTCTGATCAAGATATTTCATAAAAATTCTATCCTTCCTGTGAACGTGCTCGGTTTGTTTGTTGTGTGCGAGAATACACTGATTGTTTCGACTGAGTGAAGCACATCGGATTCTTCACAAAATGACTGAAACTTACGATACTGACGAGCAAAGAATTATTGACAGAATTAAATGTATCGCTTTTCGTGAAGCTCGAGATGCTGGTGCAACATTTATCAATCGACAATGGGTCGCGGAAAAAGTTCATCGATCGGTCCGATTTGTAACTGACTGGTGGGAAAAATCGTATGATCAGTGCTTTGCTGATTATTCAAACGCTGGTCCCAAACTTAAATTATCCCAAGCTAGTCAAGATATCATTCGTAAAGCAAGTGGCCGGCAAGGAAAAAGCTGTTCTGTTGTGGCAAAGGAAATTGCACAAAAGCAAAAAGAATATATCACTCGACAGACAATTTATAATTACCGGCATAGAGAAGGACTCAAACCTTTCCATGTTATTCCAAAACCGTTAAAATCTGAAACTCATATATCAGATCGATTATGGTTGTGTGACTGGTTAAAAGATTGGACCGAAGAAGACTTTCTGCATCTTGCACCGGCTGATGAATTTTTTGTGTGGGTTGTTCGTCGATCAAATTATCAAAACGATCGAATCTGGGCGAGAAGTATCGATGATATCGAAGAAGACGAACGTTATCGTGAAATGGTTAAAAACCAAGCATGTATCGGGATTTTTGTTATCTTTACCGCAAAAAGGTTACATTGGGTGATTAAAGAAAAAGGTGAATCTTGGACGGGCCAATATTTTCGTGATGTAATTTTGACTAACACGTAATTCCCTTCTTAAAAAATGAAGAAAATGTTATCGATGTCGATGAAGTTACATTTCTTCATGATAAAGCCTCATGTATGCGAGCATATCAGACCCAACATTTGCTTCAAGACAATGATATTAAGTTTTGGCGTAATGATATCTGGCCTGGAAATTCACCCGATCTGAACGTGGCCGAACATATTGGAACAATAATCAAGGATGAAGTTGAAAAAAAGATGCTATCCGAAACCAGACAATCTCGATATCTTGAAGAAACGCTCAAAATGCACCTTTCAGATGTTCTGACAAATATGGAAACCGACACCAATCTATTTGAAACTCTCCTATGTTCGTATCCATCTCGACTGCGTGCAGTGAAGAACGCTAACGGTCGTCATACTGATTACTGATTGTATTCATAAGACAATGAAAAAAATAAAGAATCTTTATCACATTCAGTTCTAGCTTTATCTCATCGATAACTTTTTTTCATATCTATAACCTGTGCAACTTCATTCATTGAGATATTTGAATACAGTAAAGTCATCATAACTTCATCATTTAGTGCCAATAAACCCGTTTTTGCCGGGCTTTCTTTTGGTATAAAATTCATTAGTTCTCCTATTTAAAATAATAGTGGTACCCCCTGGCAAAATATTATTTGTCACCTAGTAGAAGTCTTACAATATATTAGACAAAAACTTGGGTGTATATGAGAATGTTCATGCATAATCGTTGATTAAATCTTATGGATGATGGCCATTATAATCTTATATGAACGATAACTACTGAAAAAGACGATGAAATATTTTATAAAAGCTTCCCTAATGTTCTTTTTTTTCTCAGAAATAACAACAACTTGTTGCAATAACTTAATAGAGCAACGATAATGTTTCCATAGAGAAAAAGAAATTATATTGCCTAGTAGGTTCAATATAAAATACATTTATGGAACTCACATATATATTCAAAGAAAATGATGAGTGTGACTTTTAAGTCAGAGTTTTCTGGCTACTCCTACCTATCTTATTTTGGGTTTTAGCAAACGAAAGGATTGTTTAGAAGACAAGGAGCACGTTTCTCGTAACAGCCGAGGACAGCAGCATCAGAGTTCTTTTCCATATCGTGAAATTTGAATGGCTACAAAACGTTTGCATATGTTCGAAATAGTATAGTTTCTAATTTTAGAACAGGTAAACGTTGATATTCAAAATAACAAAAACGATAGGTACTGTTGTATTAATTGTCTAGAGTGGTTATATGATCAACATAAAAAGTACGAACAAGTCAAGCTATGATATTTTATAGAGTAGTATTAACATCAATATTTCTGAATTTATCAAGGTGCACAATAACGTGTTCAGACTTTTTATGCACATGATGGATGTGTACAAAAGACTTATTTGTCAGTTTAATCAATGATTAGAATAATAATTATGTTACATTCAAAACAAAAGAAAAAAAATTGTTCTCAATGTAGAAATAAATAAGACAAATCGTTTCTCTGGTGATCGATCATTCTTGAAAAAAGATTACAATTTTTGAGAGATATTTTGTATTATTATCATACAGCTTAAGAAAAAATGTGAGCTCTACCTTTTAGTCCTAAAGAGGATGTACTGACAAGTTTTACTGATTAAATTGGATGACCGTAGACAAAATCAATTACTAAATTAAAGAATTATGAAAGAATACGTCAATCATTTATAAATAACGTCTATATTTGTTTTTAGATTTAATACAAAGAAAAATAATTCGCAGACAATCCGATTTGAATCTGTCATCTCTTAAATAAAGAAAAAAAAACTGCTTTAGAGAATATTATTTTTATTGATGAACCAAAAATATCCTTAAGGTTTATACGTTTCAACAGAGTTTATTCTAAGTTTTATAAAGAATAATGAACACATCCATATGAAGATAATTAAGGTGAAGTCAAAAGAAATTTTGCTAAAACCAACCGATCAACAGATTGTTTTGCTTTTAAATAATTTATTTTTCAAAGATAATTTATGTGCATGATTCTTTCTTCTATAAGTTTTTTTGGCTTTATTCAATTACCTCTTTCATATCGAGACAGGCATATAGGCGTTTTCTGTTTCGAAACAGTGCAGATCTATTGATGTGTACCACTTATTATTAAACCGATGGGTACTGCTTTATGATATCTTGTGAGCGACATACAGATGCATTGTAATACTTTTTGAAAATATTAATAACAGTGATGAGAAACAAAAATTAATGCGCTTTATCTAGTTTCCGTGTTTCATTAATTGACGTCACAATGAAAAAAGGTTCAGTCTCGAAAAGATTAAACAAGGAATAGTATTTTTATGAGATATATAAAAAACAAAAAAAATGGGTTAATGGCTTCTTATTTTACTCTTGTCATTAGAAAATTTTTCAATCATGAAAAAAAACCAAGCAACTATTGGATTTCTGTTCTTATCAACATGCCTGTTTGCGTGTCTTCTTGACATAGAGTAAAGAATTGAATAATAATAAAAGAAGAATAGAGAAAATGTCAATGTATTTTTTGTGATTCTTCTGTCTAAGTATTAGTTATTCAAAGAAAAGAACTTATTTGAGGAAACATTTTCTTAATTGTTTATTTGTTTCAAGTATCGTTGAGTGGATACTAAAATTTCTTGTAAGATTATTTGAAAATATATCAAATTTTATTTATTTCATTTTTCTTATTGACATGTTAATTATTTTTAAATATCGATCGGATTAAATTTTTTAAAGTAGTTCGAAACATACTACCACCACTTAATGTATATATATAAAATGGCATTCCACTAGCAAGATAAGTAAGAAGAAGAACAAAATTATAAATAAATTTGTCAATAGTAATATGTAATAATGATTTTTTTGTATTTACTGTTAATGTTGTATAAATTTTTTCAATAACTTGTGGAAGTGTTAAAATAGTTAGAAGAATTATTTGTACAAACAAAACATGACGTAAATAACGATCGATTCTTTTCCATCGTGCTCGTTGTTCATTTGTTAATGTTAACGTTTTTCTATTTTCATTATCTGTTTCAGTGATTTTTCTTTTAAATAAAATAACATAATAAGTTTGACGTATATTTGATATTGTCATTACACCAAATATACACATAATTGATAAAGGAAATAACACAGTTATTAAAGCATAAGTTACATCTGTCGACAATCGACACATTACAGTTTTACCATAACAGTGAAGTGGTGTTGACATCATATTTGCATCGTAGCAATAAATAATTTGAGAATAAAAAATAATTGATAAAACTATAGTACAAATTGTTCCTCGTTGAGCATTTTTTAATGAACTCATTTGTCGTCGTTGATATTGACTACATGATGAAAACCAACGATCAATTGTAGCAAATGCAATAAGCCACAAAGCTATTGTACGTGAAACAAACATAATAAAGGCACGAAATTTACAAAAAAAAATATTTGTATCTGTTATATCCATATTCCAACCAGCTAAAATTCGTGTTGTTAAACCAAATAGAATAGAAATCATATTTGCAATAGATGACATTAAAAAAAGAAAAATACATGGATTAACACGAAGTGTTGGTTGAGATAGAACAAAACAATTAAGTATATTACCAATTGTACCAAAAAGAAAAATAAATATCGAAAAATAACGATTAAATTGTATTGAAACATTGTTCAATATTTCTCTTGAATATATATCAGAAGATACAGACATTATTGTAATTTAATAATAAGAATAATATTACTCTAAAAGCATAAATATCGTAAGTAATCTTCTATATTTTTTTCAAGAAATTCTCATTCATTATATTCTAAAGATAAAAAAAGAGACACAGCTTGACACTGGTTCTTATAAATATACGTAAGAAAATAGAAAGCATAGTATTAGTAAATAAGATGTATGTCATTCTAGATAACCAAGAACAGATCATAAAAGTTTTGTAAACTTTTTATTTTTCTAAAACATAATATGAAATAGAATATGGTAAAATGAGATAGTACAAAACAAAACTAGATTAATAAGTAAGATGATACTAATACAGAAAAATATGAGAAAAAAAAGAAAAAAAAACACGTTTTTGAGCACTTTTTTGTAAGATTATGCTGCCAGTTGTAAGGAAGAAAAAAACAGACATAGAAAAAGTATTATAAGATTTAATATTTAATGCTAAATTCCATTCAATCATAGCACAATCTTTTTTTTTCATCTATGATTAATTCGAAAATATTTCAATACAGTGTGTTTTAAATACTACATATTGTGATAATCAATTTTTGTATCTAAATCAAACATAGTACAATCAAAAGAAATTAATGATCTAGATTTTCTTTTATGAATAGAAAGGAATATAAATATGCCAATAGAAATAATTCTATTAATATAGATTTAAAGTCAGACTATAAATTCTTATCGATGAACATTAAATTTTAATTTATTGCGCTTTTATTGAATTATATGGTTCTAAGGTTTTATTTACATACAAAAAAACACTGAAGTAAAAACATGTCCTGAAAGTATATTTCATTAATTACTTTCAATGAGCTTTATAAGGGCGATCGGTAGTCTTATCGAATTCACAACAAAGCGCATTATAAAAAAAATATGCTTTTTTGTTTCATTATTCATTATGATCTACTTCAAACATTAGAGATAATGTTAACTTTTTAAAAGAATTTTTTTCTTACGTCAAATATAATCAACAATTAAAAACTATAGAGACCATTGAAATGGCTCACATAAATATAAATTATTTTATGATCATAGAACAAAAGCTGGAAGTTGTGAAATGAATATATTGTATGAGGAAAATTTTCATGGAATTAATATTAAAAGAGATCTTTCATATACTCAAGGACAAACAATTATTTCTTTCTAAATTTGACTTCTAATTTTCATTTTTCATATATAAATAATTCACGCTTATTAAACCCCTAGCTCAACAGCATGTATTGCAGCGTATGTCAGGATTCTAGCAAAAAAGTCGTTCAAGCAAGGATCTCACCCACGTAATTTGTTAGGATAATGCGATGCATGTAAAAAATTGTAAGTATAAACAGTTTATTTATTATGTGTCAGATCAATTTGTAAGTATCTCTCATATGAGTCTCTTTAACAGTTCAAATAAGTTTAACATTCTTATTTTTCCATGAATTTTAAAGGACAGCAGTACCCATCATACAGAAATTGGAAATTCAAGACATTCTATTATGAAGAAGCTCAAAATACTATTGCACATAATCCTATTGAAGGAGTTACAAAGATTAGCATGTATAATGCCGCAATTGGTGTTTTACACATTGAATCCTATTGGATTTTTTTAAGATCTTAATATGTTGACGATGGGTATATTTCTGAAGGCATAATTAAAATAACAAAACAATAAATGAAAATGCTAATTGTAGCAAAAATCAAAATAAAAACCAAAAACTAATGATTAAATTGTTCTGGAATATATTGTTAATGTTCCAAGTAAATCTGTATTCAGAAACTTTGACATTGAAGAAGACAAATAGATTCATTAGACTTTAATAGACACAATAAACTTACATCTAAGTGAATTATCTCTTCATTCATTACATTCATATTATCATTATAGCTCTCGTATCACTGACAAGAGTGATTTCGTCTTAAATTATCCTTCACATTCATAGAATAAGTAATCATGATAATGGCTTTTCATTTTCTTTTTGCATTAGATTCAAAGAGACTGTTCTTTTCAATAAAGAATATGATTCTCATAATAACAACACAAATAATGCCCTTAACAAGAAACAGCTTAATCAATTGTTAATGCGTTTGCTTTGGTCCTTATCTTCTCTAGAAAAATTCATGTATTTTTAGAAATATTGAAAAATAGTATGCCTCTTTCTTTCTATGTAAGCAATATTAAGAGTATGCTCGTTTTTTTGCTAATGAATTTTGCTAGAATAAAATGAATTATCTAATCTACTAAAATAATAAACATGTTTTCAAATCAATATTTATTTTAGTATTCAAATACATGAATTAATCAAAATGAAATTATTAGAAAAGTGCAAAGCTATTCCATGTTCTTCTTTTCATAAACATGAGACTATATAGTTGTAAAAAAAACAACTTACTGTAAACGATAAATATTCGTTGATTACAAATTGTCTGCATTGATGAGTTTTATAGTTACTGAACTATGACTCTTTTAAACAGTAAACGATTTACTCTATTGTGTAGTATTCTTTTAGGAAAATTAATATGTCCAATATTTCCAAAATAATACATGATGATCTAAAAGCAATAATAAAGTATTACGATAAAAGAAGAAAATGCAAAAAAATAACATATACATAGTACTTGGTGGAATAATTACAAAAGATCAATCGTTTTTATATTTTGATCTGTTTACATTATTTTTGCTAATTATACTACAAATATATTAAGAGATGAAAAAGAAAAAGAAGACAAAGAAAAAACATGAAAGAGAGATGCTCTATATGATCTTACTGTAATGATTATCAGTTTATTCTTCAAGAAAAAAGTAAGTTATTGATATTTTGATCTACTAGGTGCATTACTTATATGAAATAGATTTACATCGTTAGTAATGGTGAGCATGCGATTTGTGACCACTAGAGATCATTAAATTAGTCTTGTACACAGCCGAATCTGGATCTGAAAGTTTTCTTGTGATGCTGTCTAGGTCAAAATATTGCTACTGATCGAGTCCGGTACCGACTTGGATTGCTGTACCTCGAGACTTATGTCATTAAAATCGCGTCACTTTTAATGATTAACGGGTTATGCAAAAGTTCTTGGAAAAATGTCAGTCTCTGTTGTATTTGAACGGAAGGTGATAGAAATCTAATTCTTTTTTATTAGATAGAGCATCGTTTCTACTTTAAAAGAACATATTTCGCAGACTTATATCTATACACTGATAGCAGAATCCATTCTATTTTGCTGCAACCCCTAAAAAGCAGTCTGTAAACGTTTTTTACAGTATACAAGTGGCATATCTCCACAAAGACATGTGCTTGTGAGCTCAAATGACTCCTTAATTGTGTAATTGCTTAAAACTCACTTAGAGAATAAAAATCAGCTCAAACGGGTTTTTCTTTACAGAGACCCAGTTTTTTAATATTATGTTGAAATAAATTCCAATTGTTTACACAACAGTAAACTTTACAGTTTCAGCTATGTAATAAACTTAGAATTAACAATCTAATAAAGTTTTTATACATAGTCTTGTAGTCTCTGAAAAGCTCGATTTGTCGTAGTTGATTTTGTTTTAATTGATTCTGAAAAATTGATATATAAAGTGATCAGAGTTTTGAACAATTGATATATGCAAATTTTCAAAAAATGGACATTAGTTTTTCTTGCCAAAAGTAGAGGATAATAATCAAACTTGGCAATGATTTGTATGTGTAACTGAAGCTTATATCATGTTGCATATAACCTGCAAAAATCAGCCTAAGTTTTCACGTCTAAGGCAAAATATTGTTTTTTTTTGCGAAGAAGGCAAAAGCAAAATTGTAGAAATTTACACTACGTTGTTGTAGGGATTCTAGAAAAACCGAATGGATTTCACTACTAGTGTATGAATAGAAGTCTTTGAAACATGTTCTTTTAAAGTAGAAACGATGCTCTATCCAACAAAAAAAGAATTAGATTTCTATCACCTTCCGTTCAAATACAACAGAGACTGACATTTTTCCAAGAACTTTTGCATAACCCGTTAATTAGCGACTTTCGATTATTCCAATAGGTCAGGGTTAATTCGGCTTTTTTCAATAAACTTCAACACTAAGTTTTATTTTATTGAAATAATTTTTTTTTTGTTTTATTTAGATCATCTGATCATCACAATGAATAGTGAACATTATTTTATGAAGAAAAAATTTTGTCTATTATTCATGAGTGATACGGAGACTATAAGCCTATTAAAACTTGATTGTTATAAGATCATCGTCCAAATTGTCTGTAAAATATCCAGCATCTATGCTAATTTCTAAATTGATATAATCGTAAAATAAGCATCTTGTAGCTTACTACCAACTATTAGATTTCATTTAGAAAATTTCATTAAGAATATTTAAAGTATGATACTGATCGTGATCGGAAACAGCCTCCAAGAAATTAAATTAAATTCATAACCTCCTCTAAATGTTAGGGGATCTTGTGATTTGTTTGAGAGTAATGACAACTGTAAATACCCTTCAAATATGTAATAATATGAATTATTTTTGTCAAAGTCTCCCAATATAATGCAAATCCCATCACTCGTAGTGCTACGTATACCGAATGACATTTTAGTTATTCATCCTTTTTTATAATACGTAATTATGCTTCCAAAGAAGAAAACAATATAAAATAATTTTTTGTCAAATTATGAACGATTACTATTTCTTGAAAGTGCGTTATGAATTATGTTGGGGTGTGCCAAGTTGAAGTGTGAGGATCTAAGTGTCTCTCCCGCTCTTCATCCTTACGCACTCTACACACTGACTCATGAAAGATAACTAGTTAAATGACAACAAAGATATTTTGTATGGTAAGAGTGTGGATGTGAACGTGAGAAAAGGAAATATCAACGTACACGTTCACAAAGAATCATGACAGATAACTTTCTATGCCGACCGAAAGAAATTTAAATTGCATCACACAATCAATTCGTGAAGCTACATAAAAAGTAAAAGAAAACGGCAATTATCAGTGTTTATGACACTTCATATGATAATTTAATGCACATAAGTATTGAGATTTGGTCATACTAATGATTTTATATGATATTCATACAAAATAATATTTCTTGCATTTGCATTTACAGTTTGTCTTCAGAATTCACTTATTTGATGAATCATTGTTCGGACTAGAATCTGATTAAGATTAACGAATACTTTGGTGATGATCACTTTCTTTTCAAATTTAAGTCATTCTGACTCATTCGAATACGTAGCTCTTTTTTCTTGATCGTTTTCCTATTCGAATAAGATTGAAAATAAAATCTTTTTTTATCTGCAAGAAAAAATACTCAAGCAAACCGGCAACAGATTGAAACTTAACGCTCAAGAGATTTTATAACACAGATATTGCCGATATTTCACTCGCAGAAAGCTGATACGTTAGAGTTTACTCGTAAGATTAATCGATGATTGTTGCTAAAATCATAGTTTTATCCCATATTCGACTAGTTGACAAAACGTCCAATGCTGTAGCATACACAAATCAGTATTGGATAATCATCATTTTTTATTAGTACGAAAAATTAGGCAATTACTAATGGTGTCATCTAGAAAAAGCAAAAGTTCATTGTTCATTGAAATTTTGTTTCAAGCCATTGACGAATGTTGTCGAGTGCATCTCGTGCTTCGCGAAAATAAGGAAAAAAGATTGGATAGACATGAATCATATGTTCTCCAACATCAAGGGTTACATCGACTCCTTCTCGTCGTGCTTTGTCAACTACTCGTCTCGAATCGTCCTCCAATACTTCTGCTGTTCCTACTGAAATATACAGAGGAGGAAAATCTTTGAACGAACCATATAGTGGACTATGTAAGGGATCATCTCGAGCTATTTGAGCATGACTCGGGCCTAAGACTTGTTCAATCAACCAAGGAAGATCTTCGGCACGAACCATTACATCCATTAGACGATTACGTGTGATACTCTCACCAGATGATGACAAATCAGTCCATGGAGATAAAGTAACAACAGCACGAGGCTTCGGTGATTGATCAGCAAGAATTGCTTGAACAGTGAGTAAAGAAAGACCTCCACCAGCTGAATCGCCCATAATAACCATACGAGATGAAGAAATACCATCGCGAAGCAGTGCACGATAGAGCGTGAGTGCATCATGAACAGCTGCTGGCAATGGATCTTCAGGTATACGACGATATTCCAAATGGATAACAGTCATATTGAAAAGACGAGATAGATGACATTCGAATCCACTATAAGCTATAAAAGAGAATAAAATTCTTTATAAGTTGCATGACAGTTTCAATAGTAGTCTTTCAACCGATCTTTGCTCAAGTAAAGAATTAAAACTACTCTATTTTCAAAAAGAAAGAAAATAGTTTGATCGATATCTAGAGTACTGTACTCGAATACAGAGACACAATGATAAACTGGTAAGTCAATATTGTTTTATCTAAGTTTTGTAAATAATAATTAGAACTTACTGTGAAAATCACCTAATAAATAACCTCCACCATGAAAATAAAGTAAAATTCGATCCGATTCCCATTTTTTTTCTTGAACAAAATTGTTTATCCAATAGGCATCAGCTGTTTGACCTTCGTACTCGAATACTTGTTTTTTAAATTGACATCCCGAAGGGCGAGGGATAATTGAACCGAAAGGAAATTTTGAACGCATTTCCTTAGCTCTTTCAAATCTATCCATCAGCGGATCATATTCAATTCGAGGTATGCTTTGAAGTATAGTTTCGAAGGCGCGATATTCTGGACTTAACTTCGGTCGATTTGGATCTGGCAGAAACATATGTTTGAGGGATATCAACGAGTGTATAACACGAAGTCGAAGGTATCCAGAATCGGTCGAACCATAATAGAATGGAATACCTATTGCCAGAATAACAATAACAAGAGCCAGCTTTTTAATAATTGAGAAACAACCATTGGAAGAAGCCATTTTGATGCACGCAAACAACAACGCCTTTTACCTTGATGTGGACCGTTAAGTAAATTTGGATAGCATAACTTCAACTATTTCTTTATCATATAACTCTGGCTTTTTTTTATATTCTGTCTCTCGTCTTGTTATCGTTGCCTACATGACCTATTCGAAAAAAAGAAAAGTAAATGATCGAGTGCTTTTTCTTTTTTTTTTTTTACAAGAGAGAGAAAATTTTCATTCCTTCGGATTGCTCCTAGTCAGTTGACAATGAGATCAAATTGGAAGTATGTTGACACCATTGGTAAATGTCAGAAGCTGTAGACTCTCTCTCAAACTACGAAGAATTGAAAAGACTTGAAATAATCTGCTGCTTTATACAGATACTAAGTCCTTCTAACCAAAACAGACGAGCATATCACTGTTGTCAGATTATAGTGCAAGCATTACGTACTTCTTTTTATAACGGTTTCTCATTTATCAAAAAACACCTCTTGTTATCATATGGTCCAAGATTTTCATATTGGGACATTTTTCATAATTCTTAACATTTGTAAAGCTGTCTCTGGTTTGGTTTTCAAATTTGAAAAGTAATGTAAATCGTGGTAGGACACCTATCACTTAAAGTGTGATGTAAAAGGTGCAACTACTTTTTACCTTTATGTTTTCTCTTAGGAGAGAAAAAATAAAAGAAGTCTTTTGAGGGCTATGTGTTCTTAGATCTATGATCTACACAACTAAGCATTTCTTGATCAAGTTGATTGTCGGTTGTGGATAGAATTGTAGATGCAACTTTTCTCAAGAAAGTGAAAGATTAAGACACCTTTTAGTATTTTATCAATGCTGTTACTATCTGATAAGAGAGCAAATACATAAAATATTTCATTAAGTACACAATTACATGGACTTTGTTTTAGTATGAAAACTTTTCAAAAATGGCAGCTTCTGATAAAAAATATCTAATCATTAATAATAATTCATCACTGATAATTCTTGAAAAGAGACCTCTATAATTTTCGACTTTCAACGACTGAATCAGAAAGAACATCGAAACCTGGATAAGACATTGTTTTCTGAAATAACTAATTGTAATGAGTCTATTAAAACGTTTTGTTATATATTAATTGATAACGTATGAATAATTGAGAGTATACACATGAAAAAGAAACTTCATCATTTTGAAAAGCATTGCACTTTGTACAGCATAATGTATTCTGTCAAACAAGACCTTGTGTATTCTTGTCCAATGTGATCTTCACAAAACTTACAACACGTGAAAGATAATTGAATGCGATATGCTGAAAAACATTGAGCGAGAGTTTGCAAGAAATCGTTTGATAGCATAAAGTCTGTTCTAAGAAGTATGCTAGTCTTAAAAATTATGAAGTTTCTTTTTGTTCATGCTTAACAGACGAAACACGAGACTATCACAAAAACTGGCTCTCAAAAAATTTTAGTTTTTGAAATAGGTTTGCTAGCTTGAAAGAACAAATAGTAGTGTCTAAATATTCAAATTGTAAAAAATTTTGCCCAACAGCTTATAATAATTACTTCGACAACCTCTAGTTTTCACTCAAAATATTTTTCTGTTAAATGTCCTGCTTTTTAAATTATTTTTATTTAAGGGTACCCTCCCTCCCCTCTATCCGGGGTTTCTTGAGAATGGCTCATCAGAAAAATTTGAAATTTTCAACACAGATAGATCTTGATGAGTACAGCAAAAGTTGTCATAGCTTCAAAATTCTCTGATGCCGTCTTCTATGAGATAATAGGGTCACAATGTCGAAAAATGACCCTAGTTTTCGCCCCCGTTTCTCCAAGACGATGTGTTCGATTGGGCTGAAAATTTTTTTACGGGTTGTAGACACTGTTTGGGATGAGTATTTTTTTTGGTTTCTTTTTATCTTTTGTTGTTTCAATAAAAAAGTTAAAATACAGAGCCTACCCTAAAAACGCTTGTTTTTATTCATTTAGCAAATTTTGTGAAAGCTGCCAAAAATCACCAGAGCAATAATTATTGAAAAGAAAAAAAAATACTCACTCCAAATGGTGAATAGAATACGTAAAAAAAGTTTCAGCTCGATCTCTCTTACCATGTCGGAGAAACGGGGGTGAAACAGTACTTTTTCTGCTAAAAATTTGATTTTGAGAATAAAGCAAAAAAATATAAAATTTTAGCTATTTTCACTATGTAAATTTAATTTCTTCTCGAATTTTTTAATCTTTAAAGGCAATTGTTGGGTTCCAAAATATAATCAGTAGATAGATAGTACTTCAAACTATACAATGGCCACAAAAAACCAAAAATGAAAAAAACAAAAATTTTGGGCGAGGAAAGGATGGGAGTACCCTTAAGAACATTTTGCTCATAAAAAAGTTGATTAAAACTATTATCAAATGATGTGAACCGATTGAGTTAAATGTACTTTACAA